ACAGCAGAATGCATAAAAGCATTCTCTTCCACAGTTAGAGGTCCTCTCCAGGGTCTTCTGATTAAAAAGCAACCTTCACACAAGCAGCTGACATGTCCCAGTTTGGCTATACTAATTATATTGTGTGCTTTTGTACAGTGTGTGCCTGCAATACCACCAATTTAATGGGAATGTGGCAGAATGCCACCTCTGTCTCTCCCCAAAATCTCTGCTGTGTGACAATTTGGTTAACATGGTCCCTGCAGAGGGCAGACATTTTCTATTGCATGCCTTTTTTAAAATAGGAATGAGTAATAACTACTAGAAATCTGTTAAATTCACAAGTAATTTCTTTTATTTGTTTGGGATTTTTTTAACTAAACTGATCTTGTAATTTTTAAGATCTTTAAGTGTCAAATGATCTCTCTTGATCTGTAAAAGGGATTCAGTAGGTACCTGAAGTGCACATTTCCCTTTTTATCCCACCCATGTATTTCTTTGTCAGTCCCTTCAGCCCATTTGGACCTGCACACACTTGCCTCAATTGTCAAAAAAGCTGGTATTCGTGTTAAAGACTACCCTGATATTGAACATCTGTCTGTATGGGAGTTGTACATTGATTGTGAATTAATTTTATGTAGGTATTGGGTACTACTGACTGGGCCCATTCTGACTTATTTCTGCTGAGTGATTGAGGTCTGCATTTTATGGGATCTTTCAGGGCACTAGAGTCAAGTAGTTAGCATTATCTAGTGATTCGTCTTCAATGAATTGATTACCCTTTCTGAAGTGAAGTGTAAACAATTTACGTGTGTTAGATAAATCCTGTAATATCTTCTGCTGTTAGTCAAATATAGGTTTAGAAGTTAAATTACTTTCCTAAGGTTATAGTTGAGAGCTGATATGAGATCTGGGCTTAAAGTAAAGGAATGTTTGCCCTTTGGCTTCAAAAGATTCAATTATTAAAGGAAATGCTGAGCATTCCTTCAGCTGAGTTCATATTTTGTTTCATGCTAATCAATGTTGGTGTTCCTCCTAAGAAAACTGTTTCTTTCTGAGAAATCATCATGAAATATGTGTTGTGTCTCTTTAGCTTGAATGTGTATAGTGCAGTGGGTCCCATTTGATATGCACGGTAGCTAAAATTACTATGCAGTGCCGTATTTTTTAGTTTAAGAATGTTGGTATAGGTAAATATCATGAGAAAAGAAATGTCTGGTGATGTGTGTATTGGCCTATTTTATGCTGCTTTGCTTATGTCTTAGTCCTATAATTCAGGTCTTGTCCTTTGCTCTTTTGTAAAGAGTCTTACATCATTCCAAAAGAGCTCAATTAGAGAGTTGTTTTCTTTTCTTCCTTTTGCAAATAGTGTTGTGCTGTACAGCTTTGTTTGTTACAGAACATAGCTTTTGGAGCCATTACACATGTAATCAGCAGGGATACACATACCCCAGCTATTTCCTGAGGAGAAAGTTGCCAGGTTGTTACATAATTATTCCTTTTTTTTTTGTCCTTCATCTTTATGCACTCCTTATGGTCAACAGATTTTTTTTCATTCAAGTGCAGTAATTTCCACTTGCAGATGGTTCATGTTCACAAATAAGCTTTTCCCCTTGGATTCTTGTTTTTTTGTTTGTTTGTTTGTTTTTAAGTAAGTTGCTAATCAGGCCACAACTCACCTGTTTCTCACATTCTGCTCCAAATTTCTGCTGCTTTGTTCTGAAAGTTGCATTTCAGACTGTGTTTATAGCATACTGTCATCCAGGACTGATTTTGCCTTTTATGAATCTCACGGAGGTGTGTAATCCTTAGCTTTTTGCACCAAAGTTAAAGTAACAACTTGATTTGTCTTCAGAGTATACCTTCTCTCAGCTTAATGGCATCCCTTCAGGAAATGAAAGGAAACATTGTCTAACCCACAGGAACAGAAAGCAGGATTCTGTAGTCAACTTTGTACACTTTCTGAGCTGGGACAAGTTAACATCTTAACTTCAGCACCAGTAAAAGTCCTGCCTTGTATGGGTGTTAAGTTAATGGGTACTTGTGTGTTATTAATATTGCTTATCCTGCGATCTCAAAGAGCCTTGCAAAATACAACATTCATTTTCTCCCTTCCTCCTCACTCTTTCTTTCATATTTTTGAGCCTCCATTTATTTCACATCAATTTTACATTTTTTTCTTGATTAGTTTGGTGTCTTGTGGATTATCATTAAGAGAAATCCAGTAATTAAACTTAATTCACTTTTAAAGAGTTCAGTTAGGGTCCCATTCATCTTCAACTTTGATTTACTTTGTGAAAATACAAGGTTCTTTCAAGAGTGTCCAAGAACTTTCAGCCTTTTGTCAGTGTGCTGTTAAGAGGAGCGACTGATGAAGCACTATGTAGAATCAACTTTAGTTCAACAGATTTAGCCATAGCAAGAGAATTTTCACATTGCTAAAGTTTCAACAGACTACATTTGTTGTTGCTGCCAGTGGGCTGTTAATTTCTGCTTGTACTACTAATGGCAAGAAATAGGCCTTCCACCCTTAGGCAGTTTAGAATAGTTAAGCAGCTGAAGCAGGACAGCAGGAGAGAGAGAAGCTGTCAGAATGTATGGAAGAGAAGTAACAATTAAAACACTCTTGGAGGTACTGTGTCAATATTTCTGAATGCAGATTCCTATTGGAGCCAATATGGGCATTATCCATCTCAGAAAAACAAGAATGCAAAATCAATTTATCTTCTTTGTGATCTGGTTGCCAGCAGATGCCATTTATACAACCACACACACTATTACACAAGGTAAACTCACATTAAGACGCTGAACGGAAGCAGCACTGGCCTTTTTGGATAGCTGCCTGCATTACACCATACACCCTGGCAGCCACTGTGAGGAACAGGGAGTAGGGCTGTGCAAAGTTTCGGGTACTGATTTGGCAGCCAAATCTCCGAATCGAATCAGGAGACCAATAATAAGGTCCGAATCAATTCAAAGCTCTTTGAATCAAATTAGAAAAGATTCAGAGAGTTCCAGAAATTCAGGCAGTCCCTACTTGCCACCGCAGGAAGCTGGACCCAGACTCTGTGCTGGTAAGTAGGGGGTGGGGGAAGGGGGGCTGGGAGAGGGGACCATGGGGAGACACTTGCCAGGCTCCATCCCATGCCTGCTCCCCCAGCCCACCCCATGGCTGCCACACCCAGCCCCAGCTCCTGGCTCTTTTAAAAAAAGCCCCTACTCACTGGCTGCTGCGCTGGCCTCAGGGCTTCTGGGGACTCATGGCAGAGCCCAACACAGCACGGGGCAACAAGGATCACACCCTTGCCTGGCAGAAGCCAGTGAGTGGGGGTTTTCTTTTTTCTTTTTTTTAAAGAGCGAGGAGCTGGGGCCAGGGCAGGGCTGGAAGAGAGGGTGGGGGGCTCATGACAGCATGGGGCAGGGGGGATCACCCCTCCACCCCACATCTGGCTGGAGCCAATGAGCCAGACCTTTTAAAAGAGAAAAAAGCAGGGAGCTGGGGCTGGGCGGGGGCAGCCATTGACTGGGCTGAGAGAGGGGGCGGGAAATGGGGCCTGTCCGATTCAGAGATTTGGCAGATTTGGCAATGGCCAAATCTCCAAATCAGATTCAGCTGAATCAATTCAAGTCACTGAATCAAATCACTGTCCCCCAAACTGGCCAAATCCGAAGCAAATACTAGCTGCTTCGCACAGGCCTAACAGGAAGTTGCATTAAATTATACATTCACTCTCTTGCTGCGAGATTGGGTCATTTGTGTTTTCCTGTCTTTATTAAGACTTATGTAAATTACTGACAGAAAAAAATGACTGTGGCTTTCTCTTCTTGGAATGTTCAGCAAGTGAAGTGATACAGTGCCGCAGAGAGTTCTTCCTTGTGCTAACTTTGGGTGTTAGGCATTCAAGTCAGAAGAACACATATCATTTCTATAGATGTTTCTTTGTAATTCTTCATATTAACTTGGAGACATTGCTTTCTTGATTAAATGATATAGATAATGTTTCTTTAAAATTAGAACCCAATCAGAATACAATAGATTCTCCTGCAATGGTAACCATTTCCAATTTTTTCCCTCCTAGGAAAATTCATGTTGGGAAAAGTTCCAAAGGTTGTTCTTTAAAATGTTCCTTTTAAAGATTATGACCAAAAGGAACTGTTGTGATAATGTAATCTAACCTCTGATGAAATGCTGACTATGAAACTGCCTTAAAATTATTCCTGATTGAATTACATTGGGTCTTTTAAAAGCATTTTAGAAGCTTCATTGTAAAATATTGAGTAAAAATAATCAAACACAATCCTAGATAAGTTGTTTTGGAAATTAGCTACCCTCACTGAAAAAAATGTGCACCTTATTTCTAGTCTGAATTTGTCTAGCTTCAACTTCTGGCCATCAGATTTTATTATATGATTGAAGGGTCCTCTGTCAGACTATGTAGATGTACATGTACCATATTCACTTGAATCCAAGATGAGGTTTCTTTCCTCAGTCAACAGAAGGGGAACACCCCTTGTCTTGGATTAGAGTACAAGCAGGTAGAGTAGTGGCTGTGGCTGTGACTCCTGCTCTGACCTTGATCCCAGGTTCAGAATCAGAGCTGCAGCCAATGTTTCCAACCCCAAACACATGCACCTTTTCTCCCCACCACCACCCTTTCACCCCCCTCCGCCCTCCCCTCCCCTCTGCTACTTACCTTCTATTTGTACCTTTAGCTCTGGTTGAGGCTCCGCTCTGGCCCAGGGCAGGGAGCACAGAGCATCTGCTGCCTCCAGGCCAGCCACACAGCAGCAGCATGGAGGTGGGTAGGCAGAAGGGAAGATGGTGCAGGGTATGCAGTTGGGGGGGCAAGTGGAAGGAGCAAGTAGGTAGGAGACAGATGAAAAGCGATGCATACTCTACATAGGGGGGCAGATGTTGGGATGCAGGTACAGGGGAGGCAGGTTGGGGGGTAAGTGCACAGAGACAGAAGGGAAGCCAGGCAGCCCGGGGGGGGCGGGGGGAGGAGGGGAACAAGGACGACTGGTAGCAAGTGGCAGGAGTCAGGCTTTAATTCCCCTGCTGCATATCCCCTCTACCACTTCTATCCCTGCCTGCTTGCCCTGCTGTAGCAGTGTGGGAACAAATTTTAAGATGACCCTCCAAAAATCCAATTCTAGGCTTGGAAAATTATTTTAAAAATGTATAATTTTCCCCATGTCCAGAATCTAATTGAGGCAGGGAGTTGTCCTAAATTCAGAGTCATCTTGGATTCAGGTAAATATGGTACGTAGCTTACTCTTTGATTAAACTAAATATATTGAGCTCCTCAAGGTCTTCACTATAAATAATAAATTTGTATCCATCAGTCATCCTTGTGACTCATCTCTGAACCATTTCCAGTTTTTCAGGATCCTTATTTGTGTTTTATACACCAGATTTCCAATGGATTCCTAGAGTGGTCACAGTAGTGCTGACACCTTCATCTTCTTCCTTAGGGAGGAATGCTAATATGATCCTCTAATTACAGAAAGGCTAATATGATCTCTGAAAGGCTAATATGATCTCTGAGTGTCAGTATCTCCTTAAGGAGGTATTGATACTCAGGGATCATATTAGCCTTTCTGTAATTACTCATGTAAGATGGTGAGGTCAAAAAGTGATATGTGCTCCTATAGAACTTATAGAAAGAGGTAATAGTAGGAAACTGCCATCTTGACTGAAAGCAGAGGGTCAAAATTGGAGGTTGCTATAGATTCTTTTGTTCTCTCTGGATCACAGAGAGAGAGAGAGCGAGAGGTAATACATATTTAACAATGAATTCCATTCTACTACAGACACAATAAGCTCTTTTGGGAGCCCAAGGTCTCTGAATTTAACTGAGCCTCCATATGTGAGTTGCCTTCATCTCTATAGCTCATGGTAGGCATTGAATGTGGGATCATTAGAATTAAAAACCTGAAGCTATCCATCCTGAACTGTTATATCCTCAGGTGATCTGGCACAGGCACTTGCCACATGACTGAAAGTCCAAGATACTGCAGTGAGTGTATACAAAATGTGAGTTCAAGTTCTGCCTTGCCACAGACTTCTGTAACTTAGGGCATATCTCCTCTATGCTTCTTTCCTATTTGGACTGGTACAGAATGACTTCTCTCTCTCTCTCCTTTTTTATCTGTCTGTTAAGCTTAGATGTATTTAGGACTATTTTGACCAGCATTCTTGGGACTATTGTGAATTACTATAGCTTGTGTTGAAGGGTCAAGGCTCCCTTATGAGGGCTATACCAGAGTCTCACCCTCAGTGGACAGGGTAGAGAGAGGGACCTGTAATGCATGCTCAACTTTAGATTAAATTAACTTCACAGAGAAGAACTTTTCTCATGCTTGCCATGCCCATGAAGCCTGCCCTGTTCGTGAAGCCTGGCATGTCCACAATGCCACCCCATCTTATCTGGGGCTTCTAGATGCTACTTTAGTATAAATAAGAAGCAATTATACATAGAAACATAGAAACCCAAGTTTAATTGTTGGCAAGTGAACAGAAATAAATGACAGAGAAAGAAAAAATTGGCAATGTGTTCATTTTTTTTCTGTCTTCAAACCACAAAAATTGCCTTTTAAATAGGCTTAATGAATCCAAGCAGCCGCACAATACAGCATTTCTCAAAATATTTACTACATATTTAGGAGTGGAGATCATACTGGGATGAGCTACGTCTGTCTCTCTCAGGGATTTCAAATCCTTCTTGCTGTGATCTGTCTTGACAGTTCAGTCAGACTTTGGGGATAGTCTGATCTATATGGTTAGCATAGAAAATTGTCAGCCTGGAGGATATCACTCATAGAAGGGATGATATTTGATGCCTTAATAAACAGTCTGGTGACTGTGAAAAGGCATATAAACAGCAGAGAAGTTTTCAGTGTAAATATAGGCACAGAAAATAATGCAGTTCTTGGAGACTTTTGGATGAATCATGAGCATGTGCTTGTGTGTAGACAGTAAATCAAGTGGAAATTAATTATGTATAATGCATCACTGCATAAAGAGAATGACTTGAAGGTAGAAAATTCAAGTATGATTGTTAATCTTTTGCTATTTGGGAAACTGTAGTCTTGCTGTAGGAGCAGTTGAGAGGTGCCTCTAAGAGGCACAGTACTTTGCTTTCTTTCATTTGACATGAGTATGTAGGGTGAAGACAGACAGCGTTCCATACTTTATGGGCATGCCTGATGCATGCCCTTCTGCTGGTTATCACACTGCTTTTTAGGGGCATTTTAAAGGGGTGTGAGAACTGACACTGGGTTTCCCTTATGAAGTAAGAAGCTTAGGGGAGGGTGCTAATTTTCTTCTCTCTTGTTGGGAGTCACCAAAATCAGCCCTGAAATGAAGCTTTTGCTTCTACTGCTGTTTAGCATAGATTATCTCCTTTAGGAAATAGTACTGTGTGTGGTTTTGGACAATGTACTTTACTTACCCATATTGCACCTTTCTCTTTACAACAGTTATTTAATTGAAGCCTCTCACTCTCCTGTCTGATAGGCATTACTTCCTTAACACACACAGGGACACAGAGGTGCACAATTGCAAAGTGACTTGTCTAGCGTCACATCCCAAATGTGGCATTAGGAAGAAAAAAAAAAATCAAACAGATGCCCTGACTGCAGATTCTGGGCTGTTGTCCCTGAACAGGGATACCTTTCCTTGATGCATGTCATGGCACGGGGTCCTGCAGGATGTCTGTGATCTCCCCAAGGCCCCCTTACTATGCCAAGTTGGCCCAATGGGCACCCTCAATTCTCGCCCACCACATCTTTGTTGGTAAATATATATTAGGGAGGCTGCTTTTACGTCATCTTGGACACGGTTTTGCTGTACTCTGATCCCGTGGGCTCGTAGACCCCTTGTGGGTCCCATTCTGCAATAGGTGTTTTGGGGCACCCTAGCCTTATGGGCTATGTGTGGCTCCAGCCACCCCTTTACCATGCCCTAAGCCTCGCAGATGGAACAGACATTGTTCAGTCTGGGCCTTGTTATAATGTGGCCCCCTGGTCCTCCCTGGGCTCTCCGCAGCCCTGCCTCGCACTGCGCCTTCACTGGCGCTTGGGATCTCTGCAGCCCTGTCTCACAATGTGTCCTCTCTGGCACTGGGGCTTTCCACAGCCCTGCGAAGTGCTGTGCCCTCTCTGGCGCTGGGGTCCCCACGCTGCCATGGGTCCCCTATGAGGCCCCCTCCATCCCCTAATAGCCTGACCCAAGCTACCAGTCTTAAACAGCAAACAAAACACAAGCCCTTGGGCTATAATATAAATTCAAGCCTCCCAGCTATAACATGATCCAAGCCACACCAGGGGTGCTCCATCCCTCACCAGTATTAGAGGCTGTACCTGCAGCCAGGCCTCTCCCCCTTTGGTTGCTCTGGGAGAGCTCCTTCCCCCTTGGCTACTAGCAGGGAACTGCCATCCTGGCCTCAGCTCTGGGTAAGCGAGCCAAGCCCTGCCCCTTCCGGTCAGCTGACCGCTGACAGGTGTGGACCACTAGCTCACTCTTGTTGCCCTGGTAACTAGCAGCTGGGGCTCCCCACTCACTGCTAGGGCTCTTTCCCTAGCAGTTTCTGCTCTTTAAAGGAGCAGGGCAATTAAGTGCTCTGCGACAATGCAGTTCTGCAGAAGAAATGTGCAGTCTTTAGAGGTAGCAACTCTAATAATGTGTCATGCATCGTTCTCTTAGAAGCTATAGAATTAATTGCTATGTTACTCCTGCATTACACAATGATGATACTGAAGTAGCTCTGAAATGCATTTAGTTAATATGACAGATAACCGTAGTGTTTATATACACATGGCCACATACCAAAGCAGCCTAGAATAGGCAGTTGAAAATGTGAAGTTTTAGTTTCTGCTGTCATACAGCTCCCCACACCTGCACATGCATTTTCCTCTGCCATGTGAAAAGACAAGTGATGTAATTTAATTTGAAAAACAAAACATTGTGAAGATGACATGACATCTGCCTGAAATCAGGAAAGCCAACCATTGGGATGAGTATATTAGCATATTTGCAGCCTTTTTTTCTCCATTGGTAGCCTACCTGGAGACTGTCTATATTCCATTTGATAGAATCTTCACCAAGCTTATAGGGTCACTTCAAAGCACCTGACAAATCAAATCAGATACTTGAGATTATGTTTTATGTGGCCTAAAAATGCCTAATCAGTGCAACAGGCCCGAGCATCAGCTTTCTTTCTACTACCCACTTTTCTGCAGAAGAGTAACTTCTTATCCTCATTTTTGCTGAGTACAGCTTAGTACACATAGTCAAAAAGACTGACTCAGTATTGATTCAGTCTTTGCAAGTTAGTCTAAAATGCAGAGATTAAAATGAAATAGAAGTGAACAGACTGTGAAAAGGGACTGGCTATAAATGAGGTCCAGAGAACAGAAAAAGAGATCATGCTGGGAGAATGCCAATTTTGGAGTAGCTGTTCCTTTAAGATAGAGAGACCCAGAGGGGCACAGCACGGAGAGAGAACGGAGCAAGGGTTCAGAGGAAGAGAAACTGTGGAGGAAGATCGAGACAGGGAAATCCCGGGAGCCGGTTCTGCGTGAGAGAGAGGGCATAGCCAGAAGACAGAATCCCTAAAGAAATAAATTGACTCTTGAATCACTCGGAAGAGTGGAGTAATGAAAGCAGAGACCTCAAGAAAGAAGGCACTGCGGGTACTCATCAGTTTTCACAAAAGTTCATTCTTATCCTGTTCCATTTTCTTGTTTTTGTTTGAATTTAATTAGGACTGATTGTGCTGGGTGAGAGGAAGAGTCCGAGTCCCGGCTACTCTCACACCCATACAAGAAAGAAACGGGGGATAATATCTTCCCATGAAACGAAAAAGGGGAAGAAAGAAAGAGACTGAAAGCAGTACCCCTGGTCAAGTAAAAAAATAAATATAAGTAGTTCTGAAGTTGACTTTACCTAGTTGTGTACATGTTGTTTTGATGTTGAATAAATGCAAGTGTTTTGAAGGTAAAAACAGAAGTATGTAAAACAGTTCGAGAGAGTCACAAGCTCTATGGATGTTAACTGATAGGGACTGTAAGAAAAAAAAATAAAGAGAATTGATCAACCATATATGAATTGGATTCAATTGATGATTAAAATCTTGGGTATTGTCCAAGGAAGCCAGAAGAGAGGAGTAACGCAGGCAAAAATCTTGTCAGGTTGCCAGTGTCCTAACATAAAAATATATCAAGATGTGGCAAGTGATAGTCGGAGTTCACAAATCTGGGTATAAGAGCAGAAGTCAGACCCTCAAGTATCAAGGGAATACCCCACCTTTGCTTCAGGAAATGCAGCCATGTGCCTGCAGTGGTGTGCTAATGTATGGCTCTCTGGCACATAACCAGGATGGGCTGTGTTCATTTCCTCTTCCTGCTGCCCCTGAGTTCTCTGGAATTTGCAGTCCAAAATCATAACAGCAGGACTCTGAAGGGTTGCTTATCACTTCATCTTCCTGCTTCCAGGTGCCTCTGGGATTTGTAGTCCACAGTCACAGCCAGCAGTAAGTTTGAGTGAGGGAAGGAGTGTTTAACTGCCCTCTCCCCCTGCCAAGCCCCAGACCCCCACGAGGTTTGCCTGGGGGGGAAGTCCCCCCCTGCAGACTGGTCTACATCCCCAGCCAGGTTTGCCCCCAGCCCTCACCCATACCCCCTTATCAGCTAGCCCTCATTGCTCCAGCTAGGGAGCAGAAGGGTGGAGCAGGGCAACCCTGCTTTCTGGAGCAGACAGCCCAGCTCAGGGCTGGAAAGCATGCTGGGGGGCTGTGAATTAACTTGAACCAGGAAGGCATCTGGGACAGAAATTTCATAAACTGGTTTGACCCAAATCAGTTAAGTCTGATACCACATTCAACCAGGTTTATTTTAAACAAGTTTCAGCCATTTTAAAACTGTTTTATGTGTACTGAGCTTGTGTTCTGTTACAGATTTAAAGCCGTTTCTGATAACTTAAACCAGTTTATGTGTAACTTCTGTCCATAGCCTAGATGATGAATTAACCTCCTTCCTCAGTTTAAAGTGCTGTGTTTAAAATTTGTGGATACAACTGACCTATTTGTATTGGATTAAATACTGTAAATAGCCTTGAAGATTCCCTGTTGCCCCAGTTCATCAAAGCAGTTGTTTGAGTGTGTGATTTTTCTGAATTACATTCTCAGACGTGAGCTGCATGGATTAAACACTGGCTTTACTTGGAAACACATGAGAAATCCCCTCTCTTCCTGGGAAGCAAGGTTTGTGAGGAAAGGCTGAAATATAACCAGGGTTATTTAGACAGAAGAACAGAAGACTGCAGGGAGATAACACACTTCAATATTTGAAGGGTGATTGTGGAGAGGATAGAGATGGGCTCTTGTGTGTGTTTATAGGGGACAGGACTAGTAGCAATGGCCTCAAGCTGCAACAGGATAAATTTATGTTGGAGATTAGGAGGAACTTTCTGACTATGAGGGTGGTCAAGCATTGGGACAGGCTACCTAGACAAGTTATGGAATTTCCATCCTTGGAAATTTTCAATACCAGGTTGGACAGACCCTTGGCTGGGATAGTTTAGTCGGCGATTAGCCTGCCTTGAGCAGGGGGATGGAGTAGATGACCTTGTGAGATCCCTTCCAGCCCTGTGTTCCTATGATCCTATTTAGTCCCTTTTAATTTCACTGAAGCAATTAGAATTTTATTTCTTTTTTGATAGGCAGAGGACTTCATTTTATCTGAATGCAATCTGAAACATTCCCATGTCATGAAAGTTGGCTGTTTATCCTCAGGTCTCAATGTAATTTTTTTGTATCCCTTTACTTTGAGGCTCTGTTAGAAAAATGTCAAGAGTTAGCAAGCATTTTAGGGATATGTAGTAATTAACTGACTGAATCGTTGCTGACAGCTGTTACACTAACTTGGAGGACAACAGAAGTTGTAAATATAAGATTTTGATTACTTTCTTACATACACAGCAAAAAAATGAAATAGGAGTGTACTGCACATACTTTCTGAGTCTGCAAAATAAGACCTGGACAGACAGCAAATCAAACCCAGCTCTCCAGGCTGCTAGGCCCAGAAAATCCTATGTTTTTTTCTGATGTGCCTCTATACATCACCTTGCAGGCTGCCCTGGTGTTGACTGTCTGAAATCTGTTTCATCCCTTCATTGTATGCACTTGTTTCCACTTCCCTGACTCCTCTGTCTCAATCCTTTTGTCATTCCTCTACCTTTTTTCTTTGGTTTGCTCACCCACCATAATAATCTATTGTTTCTACTGAGGAAACTTCAGCTCCCTTGCTTCTCAATTCATCACAAGGAGAGAACCCAGGTATTGAAGCTCCCCAGATCACACAACTCCTGTAAAACTCCAGGGGAGCTCCAGCTGCTATCTGTCAGCAGCAGCTGCAGCTTGTCTGTTGGAGTCAGGTTAGTAAGGAAAACAGATGGAGAAAGCAGATCTATACTGCCTCTGAGTCAAGGCAGAATGTTCCTGCTTATCATGAACAAACCTCAGAAATGAAGCTGATTAGGTATTTTAGGTATTTTAGCACAGTCTTGAGTACATGCCAAATGCCACACTCGAGGTCTCTTTATTAGGTATTCTTGGCACATACTTGGAGTCTCTCTAAACCATCGACAGTCACAGACTTCAGTCCTGACTGCATGCCAAATACCACGTTCAAGCTCGCTCACTCTCTCTCAGGTATTCTTGGCATGTTCTTGGGGCTGTTCTAAACTGGCAACACAGCTTATTTTCCAGACTCCAGTGCAGGCTGAGTAGAAGTGAGAGAGCTAGATGTGATTCTCAGTAGATTCCCTGGGTCATCGAGGAGGAGGTATGAATATGCCCCTCTTCCTGAACGCCTATTTCAAGTAGCTTCTGCTGGGTTTTGAGTTCACTTCCTTCATTTTTTCTCTTGTTGTTATTGTTGTTGTTTGTTTTTTTAAATATCTTCTGAGTTTGGAAGTAGATGTCCAGCTAAGCAAGGCATTCTTGTGCTTTGAAGCTTGCCAAGTATCTCTGCAGGGGCCTTGAGAAAACGTATAGACTTGTAATCCTAGGAAGTAAATGATGAGGGTCAGGCTCTGGTCATGTGTGCTAAAACTGTCTACCATTTAAATGTCTCTGTAAGGAAGCAATTGTGCCAAAACAAGGATCACATACATGGGAAGAGAGTATAGTTGAAAGGCTGCTTCACACATGAGGATGACATAGAATCTTTTATAGAACTAACCCATGCACATATAGGAAGATCTCAGGTGGATTTAGGACTCCAGTAGCTTTACAGAATTGGTACATAGTTGAAGTTATTAAAATGAGATGACAAAAGTTATAATTGTAAAGCAGTTCTGTGTCAAGGCTTCCTTTCTAACAACCTGCTTTTCTCTCTCCAGTCTTTTTACTTGGTTTCTCTCTCTCTGGGGAGTACAACATTCATAATGATTAATCAAATACATTAAAATAACTTCCAGAATTAGCTCATTTTGTTCTTTTAGAAAGCTAATTTAAAATGAATTTTAAAACTTCTGCATATTTTACCATTATCCTGGAGTCTCAGCAATGAAGATGGATAGAGGAAACAAAGGGGTCTTCGTGATTAAGCAAGAGAAGTGGGGCTGTGATGACGTTACTATTCCTCAGGCTGTCCTAACAGGAGGCTCTTTGATTTGGGACAGAGAATTGAGTGGGAGGAGGTGGTGGCAGGTCAACTGTCATCTCCGGCTGGCCAGGCTGATGAGGACAGTGGGCCTTCCAGTGTCCTGGTTGACCACAACAGTGACAACTGTCACTAATTTGGGACTGAAACCCTCCTTGTCCCGTCCCACGACCACGTCCCCTGCCTCTAAATTGTCCCCAAAGGAACCCTCTGCCTCTAAAAGTCTGCAATTGTAATGACATTAACTTAGTTTCTGTGATTTCCTTTTTCTTTTCTTGACAGGTTGTATAATGATTAGCAATGGTGACCAGTTCTGCCAGCATCTTGCCAGCCTACAGCAATTGTGTGCAGTTGTTCCTGGACTTTAGGAAGGAGTCCTTGAACGAAAGCAGCAGCAACTGCTTCTGGGGCAGTTTCAGCTGCCTTCTCAATACCTGAAAGTCTTTTGAACTTCTGGGGATCTTCCCGGATGTTGGGGAATTGCTTAACAAGGTTTAGGAGATCTCCTGGAGTCCAGGGGGCATGAACTGTGACTGTAGATTCCCCATTTGGACCCTGCCCTAGGAGTTGACCTAAGGGCATTTGGAGAGCTTTTTTAGGTTTTGAAGAAGGGACTGGACCATACTGGGTGCCGGACCTTAAATAAGAGGAGATCGAGGCTTCAGGAGGCAGACACCAGGCTTCCAGTGGGCACGCCCAGGGGGAGGAGATGATTGTTGAGTGATAGTTTCCTGGGGTGAGCTTTTCCCACCGGAAGAGTCTATTTGGTCACTCTGGATTTCTTTGGATTTGGACTGTGCCTGGGACTAGTATGGGGTTGGCACACTAATAAAATCAATTATGTCTTCTACAGATTCATTCTCAGTCAATTGTGGATAAAGCGGTGTTGGTGCCGATGGTGCTGTTGTTATTGATGGGGGATCTCCTGTTGGTACCTTGGTTTTCAATTCCTTTATCTGAGATTTCAATTTGTCTTGGGAGTCCTTAAGGCTCTGAACTTGAGATTCTTGACGTCGTTTGGAAGCTTCCTCATACCAATCAAAAATTGAATCCCACTGAGTCTGTGGCGCTTTACTGCCTTTTGACTCAAGGGCTCCGCAGAGATGAATGATTTTATTTAAATCAAATGTTTCCTCCAGGGGAAACTGCAAACTAGAGTCATCTTTGGTATACCTATTCCATTTGTTTAAAAACTTAAACTCTTATGGCCAGAGTGTGTGTACATGTACAATGCTGGAGTCCCTTTTGGC